TGGCTGTGTGTAATATAACTGTAAATCAGTTTATATATCTGTTTAAGGATGAAGAAAAGCTTCTTGTGGAATGCAGAGTACGCTTCTTATCATTCTTGGGAATTGGACGTGATGTGAAGTAAGTGTTATTTTGTCTCTTCCTTGTCACTGTCTACTAAAAACAAGCTAATGTAGTATAAAAATATCATATTTAGCCAAAGGTTCTCATATACTTTAATTTATCATTAAAATATTTTTAAGACCCCGGCTTAACATGTTCATATTTTTAAGGTGTTCTGGATATATGGAATATATTAAAAATATTGTGGATTTATCTTGTAACACATTAAAATGTTGATATATTATGACATTTTAAAATATTTGTTTTTGATCTTTACATTTGAAAGGCATGGATATGCTATGACATTTTAAACATAATTGATTTTACCATGTTTAGATTTCAAAGATGTTGTGCATATATATTATCAGATTTTAAAAATGTTTAGTTTTACAACAAAATTTGAAATGATGTTAACACTTTTTTATATGTAGCGGATTTGCCATTTCAAAATTCTAAAGGTGTTATAGATTTATTTGTAAAAATGTCCAAAATACTGTGGGATTTATCATGTTACCATTGTAAGGATATTTTGATGTTTTTTAAAGATGTTGTTACTATTTAAAGGTTTTGTTGTAAAAATGTTTGTTATATGGTAACAATCTGTCTTCCTCCATATTTCACGATAATTTAAGCTTTAATAACTAACTTTATTTGATCTTTCTACAGATATTGTGGATTTATAATGCATACTGCTGATGATAAGTTTATGGCCTATGTTTTTTATTCTGAGCCTTCTACTGGAGCTTTGTGTAAAACAATTGAAGCTGCATGTAAAGTAAGTTTCATAAACCTGTTTTATTCTAATTCTTCAAAGTTTCTTCAGTTCAGTTTTTATTGTGCACAAAACAAGACTTGTGAAACCATCACAAATTACATTTCCAGAAATCTAAATCAATAGAAAAGTTATTATTACATTGATTTATATTTTGATTAACCCTATCGCCACGGGTACCATTTACTGTGCATGACACAAGGTTTTAGTGTCTTATTCAACATTTTATTAAACTACTTTTGTTTATGTTATAGCAATTAGAATAGCATAAAATCTTAGCTAACAATCCATATTTTAATAGTATACAAGTCTTAAGTTCTTAACCCTTTAAGGACAGGCATCATGATGCCACGCTCCTGCACAGGCTGCAAGAAAAAAAAAAGGAAAAATAGCCGATTTGTATAAGTATATTTATTTACAATCTAAGCATTTTCACATAGTAAGAAACATTAAAATAACAAACTTAATTACTCTATAAACTAATAATAAGATTCTAACCAAGTTTTCTAAAAGGTTTTTTGTGTGTGATAAATTCTAAAGTAGTTACCTAAACATTGCATTCTGGACACCATGTTGTTACATAGGTAGTCTTTTTTTCTCTTTTGCTAATATTTCATAATATTTGCACTGACCATTTTTTTAGTTTATGTTGAAGGTACATGGTCAGGATAGTGTCTCTCCATAAAATTTACAGCACTCAACTTATCAATGTTACCATTCACCGTTCTACTAGGCCTAACACTAGTCAAGGTACCATATTTTTCAAGAAGTTACATTATAAACTCCCTAATGAAACCTTTGAATTTCAAATTGCAATCTCCCATTTTGACTAGGTACATATTATAAGCATTTAGCATAACTAGGTGCACTTTACCACTTTTTTTAACACATTCTATGGTGGCCAGTTGCACGTCAGCTTTATCAATAAGCTGCATATTCTGTGTAGTCAATTACACAATCAGACGTTTTGACAATTTTTGTTTGTTTTATGATTTACCTTTTCACTGTTAACTATTTGTCCTATATGAAAAGTGGTAAACACTGTCACATTACGTTTATCATGAAAAGTGGTAAACACTGTCACATTACATTTATCATGCCAACAAATTACCACTTTTCTTCCTTTCACATTCACCAGATTTCAGCTTAGCAAACTTAGGAACATTCTTCCTGTTTTCTCGTATGGTTCCACAACAAAATCCAAAATAATTCCTGTTTCACAATCACAGAGAACTTGGATTTTTATTCCGAATCTATAATGCTTTGAAGGAATGTATTGCTTGAATATCAATCTTCCCTTGAATAACATTAGGGATTCATCAATTACAATTTTTTTTGGAATGGGCAGAAAACTTTTCCTTCAAAATAGTAATCACTTCCCTTATATTCCACATTCTATGACTTTCATCAAGAAGCTCATTATCAGCAAAATGAATGTTCCTAAGTAGTTCAAGGAACTTCTCTCTGGTCATGTATTTTCCAAAAATATCTGTAGCAATCATGGCGTCTTTGGGCCAGTACTCTTTTATTGTTCTTTTTTTTTCACATGAGGCATTAGTAAAATAAGTGCAACAAAAGAGTATATTTCATCAATTGTTGTCTCACTCCAACGCTGGCTTGTTACATTTTGATGTACATCATAACTGTGTACACAAAATTCACGATACATATTAGTATTGTCTACAATATTCTTCATCGAAATAGGCTAGAAAATATTCAATAATGGGTGAATTCTCCTGAATAGGAAATGAATCGCAAATTCCTGAATTTTCGTGAGAGAATGAATAGTCACAAGGCACAAAGTCAACCCCATTCTTCCATGTAATATTACCAGTATCACTATTATATGAACGTGCCACAGGCTCACCTTCATTGCTTGAAATATTATCGTTATCTGAAGGAATGTCACTCATATCAGACAATTCTTCTTCATCACTCCATTCATCTATAATTTTATGCACTGATTGAGGGCTAAAAGGGCGTTTTTTGGAACGTGTGAATGAGGAAAATGTATCTAATTCAAATGTAACTCATTTTTTTACAGTAAATACGGCCTTCTATAAACAGATATTTCATTCCCTAGCATGTGATGATGTAGAGGTAGCTGGATGGTTCATTGCATGGTATCTAATGATGTAAAGGTGCTTATCCAATCAAATTATGACTTTAAAATGTATTAACCAATGAAAGCAAGCGATAGATAGAGAGCAGAGCCATACTGGTTTTAAAACTGCATCTGTCTTTGCTAAATAGGAATATGTGCTTATATGCCTCACCTGGCTCTCAAGCAAGATACATAAAGTGTTTATTTACCACACTTGTCCTTAAAGGGTTAATTCTACAAGGCAATATTTAAAAAAAATCTTGATTTTCCACTAGCGTGACCCACGTGTCACATTTTCTCTTAGCATGTCGTCATCCCTTTTTTATCCACCACCCCTCAAAAAAATACAAAATTAAATGTAAATTACTCTAAAAAATTATCATTGCTCAGACAAACCATAGTTTTTATAGTTCTTCAATTATGTTTGGTTACAGAGCTATCAACTAGAAAATCAGACCCCTCCTGCCACACCCACCTGTCACATCCTCTCTTTCACAATTCATTGATAGTTCTCTCTTATAACCAATAGAAAGTCAAGGTTTTCATCTATCAAATGACGTATTGTATAATGATATGTTCTGGACAGTTAGATGTCAATTTCACTCAGAGTACCAAATTGTAACATGAAACTACATTCATTTATCCTAAGTAGCTCTAAGTTTGTAACAGTATACATCTATTTATAATAAACTTTTATTGTTTTATTGCCCTTTGAACCATGTCTAGCTACTATCTGCACTATTATAATTTGTAAATCTCTCGGGGAATGTGCAGCTCATATTATGCTAATGAATTACATTACTCACAAGCTGGTCCTGTGCATGCCTCATGAAACATTTTTATTATAATATTATTATTATACATTCTACCTAATCTAATTTTAACAAACCTAAAAGGATCCCTATTTTACATTTTAGTTACTTTTATTACTATACATAAAGAATAAACATGAAAAACAAGAAATAAAATACTTAACCAATCGTCTTTTTTCTTGCTGTCGGTTTTCGAAGAGAGTTGACCCTAATTTTTTATACTAATGATAGTAATGCACTTAATAATTTTATTTAATTAAATAATGCACCAAAGAATAAAGACTAATAACATGCAAAAAATACACAAATTCCCTTACCTCTCAAAACTTCTGGCTTTCTAACTATGCGACAAGAGCTGTTACAAATTTATTGAACGAATCTTGTACAGTAAGTGAAATTGACAATATTATGTTTAGAATACAACGTTATACAATACGTCATTTGATAGATGAAAACCTTGACTTTCTATTGGTTATAGGTAATATACAATGAAACATAAGAGAGAACTATCAACAAATTCTGAAAGAGAGGATGTGACAGGTGGGTGTGGCAGGAGGGGTCTGATTTTCTGTTGATAGCTCTGTAACCAAACAAAATTGAAGAACTATAAAAATTATGGTTTGTCTGAGCAATGATAATT